TTCTCTAAGTGTGTTAAAGCTCTGACTTAGTAAACAGTACTAAACACGAACAAATAGAACGAATCCAAGTGGCTTTTATTTATTTATTTGGTTACTGACATAAGTCTAAATACAAAATTAAGTCCAATAATTAGAAATTACAAACTAATTGAGCTATTATAGAATTACGTCAAATAAAATAAAAGAAAAAACAATAAAACAATATTAATAATTACAATATATATCAAAAATAAATAAATAATAATAATAATCAGTCATTACTAATAGAATTACCATTATTTATACAATATTAGTCGGGAAGAATTGCATATTAAAGCCATATAGGTTAGGTTACCTATGAAAATCATGAGTTATAAAATAAAAATTGATCATTAACATTAATGTTTTGTCTAACATTATGACAGTTAATATTAAAGTCAATAAAACTTAATATATATGAATAAAATTATTCATTTTATTATTTAGAATACATAAATATATATATACATATTTTTTTTTAGGTAACATATTAAGAATCTCATCATATTATTTTGATTAAAGATTTATAAAATTACTAATTTTGTTTTAATCAGAATGAGGGAGCCTTTCGATATTCAATTTAAAACTAATAAAACACAAAATGTATTTTGAATAAAGTACAATATGATTGGAAATACTAATAATATTAGAGTCTCAGATAATTTCAGCATATTCTAGATGAAACCTAATGATATAAGTGAATAGACATTTAAAGGTTAAAGGATCGTAAATTGGAGAAATAATTAAACACGTTAAGACCGAACATAGAGAAAGCTTGATTTTCAATAGAAATTATAGGAGGAGAGAATATTATGTTTAATAGTATCTACAGCAATGCGTTTAATTTATAGTATTTCTTTATATACATAGAAAAATATTATTCAAATATAATTATAAAATCAACATTACGAAATTATAATAATTAAAAAAAAATTTCAACTAAAATCATGTATTTATTTCATTGAGCCATTTTCAGATATTTTTCCGTTATTTTAAAATGATTAAATGTCAACATAATTTTATTTAATAATCTCAATGCATTTCGAATAAACATAAATAATTTAAAGTAATGCATATTTATAAGGTAAGCATTTAATTAAAAAAATTAAATGCCTAGCAGTCCTATTTTATTATTGACCATTTTAGACGAATGATGAATTTATTTATTTTACCGCGATGTTATTTATTATTGTTATTTTTTTTATTTTGTTTAAACATTTAATATTAGAAAAAAAATTCTTCAATTTTCAACTGCATTATGTTTTTTAATAGGAAAGGAAATTTTACTACTTTGAAAGGATTTATAAACTAATAAGTTTCCAATACTTTTTTTGACAATTAGATAAACAAAAACTATTTATATACAAACAAATAACCGTATATATTTATAACTATTACTATGTGGTTTTATTTTAAAAATATTTTAACTCTTTTAACTATTTATAAGCATGATGAATTACCGATATTTGAATAATTTTGTCGATAACAATTTTCACTTAGTTAAAGCACTTAATAAAAGGTTCCTCATAAGTTATGATTATTAGGATTAAATAAAAAAGTTTTTTTTTAGTTTTACATGTATATATAATATACATGACGCTTAAACAATCATTTGGACAAACTTTAAAGTACCTAGGGTTATTTGCTTTTGAATTAATTACAACAAAATAACAAAATTGATTTTGTCAAAATGTAAAATAAAAAGCTGATAGAAAGAAGGGTTACACAATTGTATGCAGAGAACATACATATATATATATATGCTCGTATATTTTATTTTCATGATTTTTTTTTTTAATCGGTAGTATTTAATAATGTTTCACCAATACGAATTTATAAAAATAAAAATGCAGACATGAGTGGTTAATAATGTACAGCTATTTGAAGTTCATCGATTTAGGTATCTGATAGCATTGCAGAATCCTACCCCTCGACGTTACTATACATGTCGTCATTGCCTTATTTATAGTTTTTTGTTTGTGATTCGGTAAATTTTCTCTTCCACTGAGAATTTAAAACAATGACAATACACCAACGTTTAGTGTAATCTGTTACAGATAAAGTTGTACTTTCAATAAATACACTTCCGCTTTTATCTATTATTTTCAAACAAGAAAACAACTTTAATTAAAATAGATATTTTAATGAAAAATAAAACCTATCGATATTAAAATAGATCATTGTGTAAAATATTTTTTATTAATTTATTTTATAGATTTTCTTTGTAGACATCTGTTTACTTTAGAAAATACAATAGCATATATACTTAAAAAATATTTTACAAGCTTTTGATATACTTATCTATGGCCATTAGAAAGAGTTTTTTGATTGAATTTAAGTATAATAGTTAAGAATAATTCCTAATATTTTTTAAGATTTATCTTAAAATTATAACATAAAAAATAAATCAAAGCACGCACATTGTTACTTGACAATAGTAGTTAAAATATAATTTCTAAAAACTTTAAGCCATTCTTGAGCATAGATTCTTGCATTAATTAATATTTTTCAATCATTAAAATATATTAAAAAAAATTCTTCGCATTATGTTTTCAAGAAAATGTAGGTTCCCATTCTAATTTTTAATATTGAACTCCCTTCCTATACTATCACTTATAAAGTAATGTGAGAATATATAATATTTACAAAAAGTTTTAGATGATGATTTTTTTTTTTTTTTTGTACATATGATGTATTTTTATGATAGAATGTTCGACGAGTTCTTTGTCGATTTTGGTAGGTTTAGAGTCAATTAATAATTAATTATAATTACATTTAGAATAATATTATATTTTTTATTATGATTTCACAGTGTAGACAAGGGTTTTTTAATATTGATACTTAGTGTTTAATTTAGGGCATTAATGATTTATGGTAACTTTTATAGGGAAATGCAATAAATCATATTTTTCAATTTCAGCCCATCTTAATATGGACATAATCGTTAATTTCTTTATTTTAATCACCATTATTAAAAAGTTATTTTATAGACCAGCTTTTTAAGTTCTTACAAAATATTAAACCGGAAAATAAATCCATACCTAGCCAAATTAATAATCTCTTTTCCCAGCAAACAATAAAAAAAGTTTTTTGATTGTAATTGCAGTTATACTACCACGCCACATTATATTAATATTTTTAATTACGGCGTTAAATTTTATAACTCACACCATTGTTATGGACATTAAATGTATTATTTTAGTAAAGATTGTATTATTATATTATTTAAAATCAACTAAATTTGATATTAACGAAGATATAAAATGTACTCATATGTACATACATAATGTATATTAGCTACTTATAATTACTTATTATGTTAAAATGTGACTGTTTTATTTACAGCAAAAATCAAATAAGTCCGTACTTGCAGTTATACCACATTATATATTATTATATTTGAATAATATAGTAACATCTTAAAAAACCTCTTACGAACGATTTGATATGAATCTGTATGAGATTTAAAAAAAAATGTATTTGTTTATTGCAAAATTAAATATATTTATTATAAATTAAATTTGTGAAGTATTCTTAAAAATGTACTTACACTGTTCTAAAGTTAAAATAACTAACAGAAAAGTACAAATACCCGTGTTGGAAATGGTATTTGTGACAAAGAAAAATTCAATTTCAAGCAAAAACATCTCTTGATTTTTTTTCAACCAACTAAACATAATCCAGTAATAAAGAAATGTTCTTTTCGAGAAATCTTAACCATTTACGGTAGTTTATACCAAAAAAAAATTATGTACTTACAAATATATTCAGAAAATGTTGTCGTTCTTAAAGTTCGTAAAGTCAAAAAATATTACTGAGTAAACTAAAAATAAAATAATAGCTAGGATATTACTTTTTTTTTTAAGTTTATGCAATTAAATGTCTCGGATCATAACACTTTTGCGCCTCAGTCGTGCAAAATGACAAATGCACTCCACTAGGTTATCAAGACCATTTAATAACACATCACAATAACGTCCAAATATAGCGTAATTTTCTGCGTATATGAAAGCCGATCCTTAAATAATGATTAAATCAGTTGGCAACATTATTTCCAAGAATTTAAACACGCTAATGTAAAACATGAGAACCATTTCCTCGGAAATTTTAACATTATTCCTATATATAAATAGAGCATTGTTCAAAAACTTAAACATCATAACTCTAAAATTTTTAATTATAAGAGATTAAATTTGCATAAATAACAATAAAAAATAATTTTATTAATATACCATATTTAATATTTACGTGTAAAGCTTATAAATAGGTACATTTTTACACGTAATGATAATTGGTAACTATATTAACACCTCTAGCGAATAGATAATAACTTTAATTTTTTTATCACAGTATAGACTATAGAGTTAAATCAGAGTATAAATCTATTAAATATATTCATATATAAAACTGTAGTTTTAAATACTATAACTAGTGATAGAAATTAAAGTCAAAATACTATTAACTTTACATACAATTGTATATATTACGACAGAATCAAAAGGTTGTACTTTTCTCTAGACCACATCACATAGGTCGTTAATAAATGTTCAAAGAGCTTGAATTCAATAACAAGTTATCCGTCTAATTAAAGATATATATTTACATTTATAATATAATACGATGACCAACGTCGTAGCCTATATTATATAATACTTATATATTGGTAACCTTCATCAAAATTCGTTTTATCACTGTTATTGAATATTAATGCAATCAACGTTTACATCAGATAAAATTTAAAAAATCATAGATAAGTACTATAACATTTCAGGTTCAATGAAATATGAATTATAATATAATATGTATAGTAATAAATATTTTTAAAGTATACCAATGATTTATTAGCACCTACAAATGCTAGATAAGGGTGGTAAGAGGTAATGCAGTTTTCACTATGTCTACCACTAATAAAAAATATATATTTATATAAAATAAATGAAATATGTATGCTAAAGTTTGTTTTTTTTTTTTTATTATTATAGTGTAACCAACTACTTTTTGGTGAACTTATCCATCGCTGATCTCCTAGTGACATTCATATGCATGCCAATGGCAGTAGGACAATCGGTGACCGGCTTATGGTTGTACGGCGAGACTATGTGCAAATTAACATCGTATTTACAAGGTATAATAACTGGTTTATCGATGCTATATTAAATGTAAACACACTAGCTTTTTTTTTAAATTAATACAATACATAATTTGTATAATAAAAAATTTAGAACTAAGTGTTAATGTAGAATAAAAATAATAATAAGTACATTTTAGTTGCTTGTAACGATTGGTCGTATTTTTGTCTATGTGTTTTGTTATTTTGTATACTTATCATTTATTGATAATAATTTTATTTTAAAATTTTAATCTATAGTTGACATTTCTAATGCTGAAATGATTAGATATATGAAAAATACTAGTTTGAAGTTTTGTACAAGTTTATAGAATAAAAACGTGTCTCAATAACTTAACCCCAACTTCCAGCGAGTGGAGTTTAAACGAACTTATATGAAAAAAAGATGCCAATGAAAGTAATTGAGTCACTAGATATATTCAATGTATGTCATATGCACTTTCTAAAAAAAAAACTAATTCAGCCCAAGAAAAATAATGTTTGAGTATACAACAATAACGTTTAGAAAATATATAAATACAACCTATAATAAAGTTTTACGTATATTTGGTTCTTAAACGTAACTGCCAAGAGTTTATCGATTCTTTGTGCTTAGGTGTTTTTTATTTTTTCCTTTTTTGATTATTTCTAGAATATTGGTCAATGATTCGAAACCCACATCAAAACTATCTTATCAAAAAATAAAAACGAATACAAAATCGTATTCTTTATATTTTAGCATATAAAACCTACTAAATGTATACAACACTTCAAATTCTAGTCATAGAATTTAATATTGAAACACTATAATTTCGAAGACAATAAAATAATTTATGTTGGTGTTATGACTTACTTAACTTTGAAATCAGTTTATTTGAAATATTGTCTTAAATTTTTTTTAATATTCTTATTTGCACATTTAGTACTTCTACGTTATTTTTAATTACTAATAAACACAAAATTATTGTCTTATTACACCAGTAGACCATATATTAACGTTGTTAAGCTATCTAAAAAAAAATTAACTTACTTTTTTAATCTTTTCCTGATATAAGATTTTTAATTGATGGCTTCTAAGATTGTAGAACATTTATTTTTCTCATCATAAATTAAATTTGTTTCTACTTAGTGATACAATGATACTTAATATTTATTCATCTATTATACATATATCGAATATTAATGTATAATATCTATTTATCTATGTATATACTCTATGTCTACAGGCGTCTACGAATAATAAATAAATAAACAAAACAATGATAATCATGTAAAGTTTTTCAAACTAAATTATTTTATTTCTTTGATACTATATCTTAAAGATGTCAGTAATTTGTATTTTTGGTTACCTAAAAACGAATACTCTTAACAAATTACATATTAATTATTACTGTAGCTCCTAAATGTAACTACAGTGGAAACTATTAATTATAGGGAAACTATTAATTATATTTTGTATTAATAACCAAACTTTATTACATTTATATTTACATTGTGTATATTTTAATGTTATATTTGATTCCTATAAATTACTTATCTTTTTCAAACTATCTACCAAAAATTTTAACTTTTTTTTCATGTTTATTTTGTAAAATTCAAATTGTTAATAATTTATTGTATAAATCTAATAAAGCTAATAAAGCACAAGAATATAAATTGAAACAAGTAAAAAAAGATTATAGAATCATTTTTCATTTTTTTCATATATTAACAATGGACAATGTTAACAGTGAAGATCTTTATCAAATTATAACCATAAAAAAAATCTTCGAAATCTGTTGATACGTATAATGATTGAATTTAAAAGAAGATAATAATGATATATATATATATATATATATATATATATATATATAAGGTTCTTAAAACTATGTTATTTATAAAATGTGTATTATTATTTGTTAGCTCATGAACACTAAAATAAATAAGATTGTACTTTTTCAATGCCATTGATGCGATGGTAAGAAAAAAGTACTCTTTTAAAAATCATAGTTCATTCTTCATTCGTTTTAAATTTTAAAATCGATTCGATAATGTTATACAACTATTTCCTATTCTTAATGTGATAAGCGTTTGTAAATCGCTGGTTCATAGACAATTCTGGAATTGATACGCGATCGAAAAACTATTTAAATTGCACGTCGTTACCTATACCAAAGTAAAGAAGTTATTCTATGTTTTAAATGTTTTGTAAGGAACTATACTTTCATGTTTGGTACTTAGCTCGTTTTGCTAGTATGCCTTCAAAATAAAACTTATATAAACACAGTACACATATAGATTGAGCTGCTTTAAATAGGTATTGGTTTATAAAAAAGCTAATGTGGTAATATGTATACGCATAATAAATATATATAAAGAAAACAAGTCTCAAAAAACGATGCTTTAATAGTTTAAATCTTTTGATATAATTTAATCAACTTAATACTTCACCTAAAATCTAAGTCATATTACGTTTAATACTCTTTTTAAATATTTTTATTCGAAGTGATCAATAATCACGAAACTAAATATTCCAAATTTATTATAGCTTTATACTATACAGTATACATATTATAGTATAATTTAAATATCTTGAATTATTCTAAAGCTATTTCAAAATTAACTAAAATTGATTTTTTTTTGACAATGTGTTATGTATGTTTGAACTATAAAAAATAATTTGCCTTGAGCTAAAAGTTTAAAAATTAATTATTAGTTGAAATTATTTCAGAATCATATATTTATAATAACTAATAACCAAAATATATATTGGCCAACATTTTCTAAAACACACTATACTTGTAAAATATTATTAGGTAAATTAAATTCATTTTCAATTAAACAGCCAGAAAATGATTGAGTCTAATTTGTAACTTATTTACACCTTATTGAAATACTATATATTATACCTGTCTACACTTAATTAAAATTTTATTATGAATAAAATAATAAATATATTTAATGAAAAACGAATATCTTCTAATTGTTTTAGAAATAAATTTTATTAAAAAATATTACTTATTCATCCTGAGCTGGTCTTATTCGGATAGAAAAACTATTTTTCTATGATAAGAGTAAACCCCGTTTTTTGTGGTACAAATTTACAATTTTACCTATTATTGATCGAGAAGCTAAAGAAAAAAACATTTATACTATTTATACTGAAAAGTTTAACCAAGGAAATACTTATAATTATAACCAAAATTGAGAATGTATTCATAATATTGTAAATTAACAACAATAATTTATTATTTGTTGATCATTAAAAAATTCACATATTCAAATAATTATTGGAGGACATAAAAATTGAAAAAAAATAAGTAGATAAGAATTCGAATACTATATTATTTAATATATGTCGATTTATTTTGATTTAAGTTAGTATCATAGTGATAAAAAAAGGTTGGGAATCACTGAAAATAACCCTTAGTTTAATAATACGAGTAAAATTATACATGGGTACATATTGATTCTGATTTTTTCATACTCGTTAAGTAATACTTCAATGAAAATAAATCTAATGATGTCCACATAGAGTACTATAATATTTTATGCACTCTTTATTTGATCAAGTCAAAATGATAAGCTATAAGTTAGTTTAGATGTTATAATCAGTGTTGGAAAAATTTCTTTTAAAAACAAACTCATTCCTGTAATAAAAAATTGTCTACATAGTATATTTTATTAGTTATTGACAAAATTATTATGATACCATTACTAACAATTTGTAGACAATTTTATCATTAAAAATAATGTGCGTTTAGTTTTTTTTTCACAACTTGCGTACATATTCTTCATACATAGAAACTCTTTTCTATTCCTTGTTCGGCTTGTTCTAATATTAGAAAAAGGACGAATTATTTTCTAACACTGTTTATAATATGATTATTATATGAGACAAGAAGAACACTTTGACTTAGTGCAGGTATACTTGTACATTAATTTTTATATTATAATAAAGTTACTTTTAAATAACTGAAAAGCCACCCTGCAACGTATACATTATGTATAAATATATATCTACGTTTAAATAATTTGATCCCAAATTAAACATCGTCGAAAGCTGTATCGGTAAGAGGTCACAATCAATTTTGTCAATGACTCTACGATACAAAGCTGCTAAAATAGCTCCATGAGCGTATGTGCTAATCATTAAGTCAGTAATGGATATAGCACATTTTGCAAGGACGGCATTACCGGTGGCTTATATAGATCATCGATTAAGGTGGCTATAACATCATGGATTGATTTTTATTTATATATTTCCATAAACCTTATACCGTAGTTTAAGTTCTACATAATATATTCCCATAAATTCATAACCAATTTATCAATAAATAAACAGCAAATGTTTAGCTTTTCTTCCATCCATTAACTAACAATACCTAATAAAGTCAAAACATACATTTAGATATAGATAAAATAATTTTATTTTGAACAAAAAACATAATTATTTTAAAAACAATCAATGCCTTTGAAAATATTTGTTTACATAATTTTTAGTTATGACAAAACAATATTTTTGAAAAATATCATATTTTTACTAATATCTTTTATTATTAGAGTTTTTTTTTTCTTAATTTATATAATTTTTCTATAAATCATATCGTATATTAAGTATTAAGTAAGCAAAAATATGTATTTTTTACTGTTTATTTTATACAGAAGTATATTAATTAAATTTTTACTCATGATAGTTTTTTTTTTATCTAACACATCCTAATGCATAAAAATATCTATTAAAACGAGAAAAAAATAATTAAACAATATTATGAACTTATTATACAAAAGCAAAATTAAACATAAAATTATTTATTTTATTATAAGTTTATGCATTTATTAAGGCAATAGTTCTAGTTTGTAACTAAATAAATAATAGATAAGATAATGTAGACAAATAGCTTTGAAATGTCAAACCAGCGCTTATATTTGTATTAGTTTTTCAATCGTCAATTAAACTCTAAATTCCAAAATAAATAATTATTTACATTTTTATTTTAATCATATTATTATAACTATTAAAATAAAAATATCATCATACATCAGTTAAAACTATTTGTGAATATTATCATGTTTAATTCAAGTAAAATGCATTTTATTAAAAATCCAGAATCCATGAACGCTAATTAAACTTTTACAATACCTACCACATTACATTTTACGATTTATTTTTTACTAACAGTGGTTAATTGTATCCAGCTATTATCTTACAGATATCTTCAATATTATTTATTAAATAATTAGTATTTTAAATGTTTATTTCTGTTCGTGCATTCTATAAAATACGTTAATGCTATATTATATAGTGTAGTTGTCTGCGAATAATTTTGGAACAAATCTGTAGTTAATGGTGACGCTTGATTTAATTAAAAAAGGAAAACGGCTAAACATCTAAGTTGTCAAGTCACAAACTTAATAATTATTTAGTAAAATGTCCAATTAAAATTTGATTATTCGAGATATATTTCCGGGCTGCTTGTAAATGTTTTAATTCCTTGTTTAATAAAAGAATCACTTGTTTATTACATTATATTTTATTATATTAATTTATCATTTTAATTATATAAAATAAAATTATTTATTAAAAAAAAATAAAGAAAAAATAGTCAATTTGTAGCTTACTTTTGTATATATTTTAAAAATTGAATATTACTCAAATTACTAATTTGTGTCAAGTATTTAAATAGTATTATATTTTAAAGTTACAACAAGAAATAAATGAGGTTTTACTGAATTAAGTATAAGCATTAAGCAGATATGTACGAGAATAAATAAATATAATTTAACACTCTATATGTATAGCTTCATCAAATTATAAATAGAAGGTGTTACTAAATTATTCCTTTTGTATAAAAGCCAAAACAAAAAGATATTTACACACGTATTATATTATTATTATAATTCATTACTCGTAATCATAAATCATATAAAAATAAATGTATAAAAAAAAAATTTAAAAAACAACAAAAATTCTCAGTGGAGGATAGAGTTTTCATCGTAAATCATATTATTCGAAAAAAGGATCCTAAAATCAAACAAAAAATACTATAGAAATATGTCATTTTAATTTTTTTATAACTAACCTAATGTATTAAAAATTGTATTGCAAAAATATTTTTCGATTATACATTACAGCGAAATTAAATTAATATTTATTAATTATAACAAAATATTCGTTTTTCTATGTTATTTGTGCAATTAATATTTTTAGTATTATTTCCTTACTTTTGGGAAAATTTCTAATATAAATTAAGAACAAAATTTTTCTTAAGCCTAATTAGTATCAACAAGATAAAAATTTTTCAATCAATAATAATACTTCATAAAACGATTAGAATGAATTCTACTATAAGAATAACTCCTTAAATTATAAAAAAAAAATCAATTACAGACACAACACTAAATAATTCACACATCATTAAAAAAATCAATTAATTTCACTCTGAATCTAATGTTAAAAAAAAAAAATAATAATTGAAACCTTATTTTAAGTTTGGCATGCACAGATTTTAATAGTCTGGAAAAGGTAAGAAATTTGATTAAAATACTATCATCTACATGTTGTAAATTAAAAAAACAAACCATAAAGTAATTAGAGGGTGCATGTATATCAAATAAAATGGGAATTTGAATATAACTCTGTTGTACAGTAGATGTCTAATGAGCCATTTAAATGGCTAAATTTTTAATTCAATAACGATAAATGATTCTTAGCGGAGACGGTTTATCAGCATGTATCTAAGTATATTAAATCATGATATATTTTTTGATATTGTTATTAATGAAATTTATTTTATTATTAGCATTAGCATTATGGTAGGTTGATTTAGTTTATACTAAAAACATTGAATTTATTATATTGGTGATTTTTAATTATTACAATAATATAAATTTATATCATATTATATTATTGTTATTACTTTTGAGTCATACTCAAAAATTTCAAAAATAGTCTGCATGTAGTACAATCAAATATTCATTTTAATTTCAATGAGTTTAAATTGAATGATCCTTAAAATAATTATTTTTAAGTACTTTGTCACTGTCAACAGTATCAACCTTGATCGAGCAATAAGCAAATAACTATTTCCAATTAAATTTTGAAACTTGCAAAATAAAAAACGGAAAAAAACATTCTACTATCTTACTATTTTTGCTATTCAGAGCTAAAGAAAATTAAGAGAATTCATAACTATTGTATTTTTTTGATAATAACTTTTTTCTAAAAAAGTATTTATCAAGCACTACATAAAATTAGTTTTTGATATAACTTTAAACTTATAAATTATTATTTGGAAATATTTTTAAAATACGATTTTTATCAAAAATAAATTTAAATAATGGTTATAACTCACCTAGTTGTTGTTATAATATCTATATTATTATAATTTATATTTTACAACATATTCTTATACTTAAACAATAATTCTAATAAATGAGTTAACTACTTACCAGAAAATACATATACATACGGATATACTATACTGTTAAATGTATTTGATTTATTTCTTTGTATTGCATGATTTACCTATTAAACACTTAACCAAAGAAGAAATGGAAATCACTTTCGTATATAATTTTTAAATGGCAAAATTATAGTTCAATAACAATTATATTAACTAATATGTTAATTTAAAATAAAATAACAAAATATTAATGTGGAGTGTAGTACCAGTATATGTACGGACACTAGAATAAACTTTTTATAATGCAAGGATTATATTCATTAAAGTGAAAATAAAAACCTTCAAAATGTACGTTATTGAAATATTGTTAAAAAAAAGAAATATTTTTCCAAATTTTTGATAAGTACAACAATAAGTAAATTATATATTAACAAATATAAGTGTGATACCAAAAAAATGTATAATAATATGCGTTTTACACGAACATTTTTAAAAATATTGAATTCAAATAATGTTAAAATAGAAACTAACCTATATAATATTAACGAGAACCCTTATTCAATTCTTTTTAGCCATAATTTTTTTTTTCATTTTATAAATAAAGTATAATACGTGTTCAATTTCTTACCATCATAAAACTTTTATTAAATACATACATAATATTATGTAAATTTATTTACTCGTTTTAACTACCAACCTAACCTATTACTAACATTTTTCATAGAAAAAACTCATCATTATTCATTGCATAAGCTAAAAGCTACACGATTCATTTTGAATAAAAAATAATTCATAAAATAAAAAAAAATATAACTTGTAAAAAACAATTCAACTTCAATATCAACATTAATCAATTAATAAAAACATAATAACTTATATAAAATATTATAAAAATATAAATTAATTACGAAAAGTTGTTTATCTTTTGAAAATGTAAAAATAGATTAAATAATATCATATGTCTGTATGTTTACTAGCGTAGACTATCTAAACATATAAACAATCGTTATTGTGCACCTAATAATATTTAAATTGAGATGACACAAGATTTTAACAACAGTAAAAGAAAAATTAGAAAAAACCTCTGTAAAATGTGTGTAAATTTACTTTTATTTAAAATATTTACCAGACACATATAGTATGTTGTATCTTTAATAGTAAGGCAAATAGTTGTACTAATGTACTATAAAGTACAAACTTATAAGTTAATTATTTAAAATCCTGTCACAAGACATATACGAGTATAACAATTATATAAAACATTATTTATAATTTTATTTTATTTATAGGTGTTTCAGTTGGTGCAAGCGTTTTTACTATAGCTGCAATGAGTATTGATCGATATTTAGCAATCGAACATTCGATGTCATTCAGAAAGGTGCTCAATCGAAAATCAACCATCTATGTAAGTTAAAAACATGTTATTATAATGTAAAGTATATGCATTTATGAAAAAGTAATAATCATTATTAATGTCTTAACTAATACATTAATAAAAAGTATGCAAATAATACCATTCAGTCGAAAAATAATTAATTTTATATTTTAACGTTATTAAAGTTTAGAATCGAAACTTTCGTGAATAATATTTTTAATATGCTTAAAATATACTTTTAATAATATATTTCAGTGCTATTTTTTAATAAAATAGATATATAAATTATAACTATTGTGAAATTTAAATTATAATCTATGTAATTCATCCTTATACGAAATATACAAGCATTGTTTTAAGTTAGAATATCAAAAACAACGTGATTAAATGTATCCGGTCAGGTACGTAACTTCACTTAATTTCTATACTGCGCTAATTTAAAACTATTGTAGTTTATGTTACTCTAAATTTTTAACTCATGTTCATTTTTAAAAACAATACAATCAATAATATGTGCATGATTATTGATTACCAACATGCTTATTATTACATCAAATGAATATTTTAAAATTATCTTTAACACAAAATTTGTCTATACATTACGCCGTACGTATAGACCTAATATTGGAAATTTTCTTTTTCGTTCATCTCAGAAAACATTAAACATTACTCAAATGTATATCAATAATAAAATTATATCAAGAATTTTTAAAAACAAATAATAATTTAGTAGATATTTTAATGAATTTCAATCAAACTTAATTTAAATAAAACAAATAAATAGAATAATCAAATACAATTCACTCGGAAAAATATTTTCAACTTTCAAGTGGTATTTAGTCCATTCTATAATATACATATAGTGTTGAAAAAAATAAATCTTCATAAATAGTACTACATTTTGAATGCAATAATACTCAATGATACGCCTAAAAAATTTAAAACTGTACATTTTATATAATGTTTTATAGCATGTTGCCTACGGGGTTGATTTATTTAAGCTTTGTAAAAATAAAACTGTATAATAGGTATAAGGACTTCAAAAACCATATATTTAAATTTAGAGTACAAATTTATTCAGTTATAACTGATTAAACAAATTTTTTTTAAAATTATATATTTCTTCAAGTGTACTTCCTGTGATTTTTAAATGAGCCATTGGTGCATATGTTTTTTTTTTCTAACTAGAAAACTCACTTTTGCAGTATAATATCTTAGAATAACAGTTCTCATACTGTGGTACGCAAATGACTACATAGTGTTACGCAGAAAGCCACATGGTGATAAAACGGAAAATTAAAAATAAATATTTTTACTTGTGATTAAAATAGTTGTTATAATATTATTTAAAAAAATATTACAATTATTTACCATATATTGTATTTTATCGCTAATATAAAACCTAAAAATTCGTGGTTATCATTTTATTCATATCTCATTTTAAAAAAAATGATACATTTAAATTAATAAATAAATAATAATTATATTGAGCTATTTTACTACCTTAATACTTAAAATAAACACAATTAACTATGTAAAATGTTGATCGTTTTATTTTTCATCATTATTAGTATGCAACTGCTTAATAATATACTTAAGTGGTACACGAAAAAAACATTTGAAAACCGCTAGATTAATGTGCATCTCATTATTTAGAATGTCATTGAATGTGTTAGATTTAATGATAAATCATTATTAATAAAAAGACAATTTTTTATGAAGAGGACTTATGAATCAGCATCTATTTTGATGGTTAGATTATTCAAAATTAATTTTATTAATATATTTTTTTAATTTAATTAGTTGAATTAAGTTTACCAAAAACATAAAAATAAGTTAATAATCATACCAATTAATGATGTGAAAATTATCATACTATAAACATTTAGAAAATTAAATTATGTATTGAAAATAATAATTTACAATATATATGACCAAAAGTCTACTTGGTTAATATTTGTTTTTAATCAGAATAAAATAAATAAAGTAATTTAAAGATAAAATATTATTTTTTTGTTTAAATAATCAATTATTTTCATATTTAACAGTCAAACTTTCACTTCCTGAATTTTAACTTATTGGTATACAGTCAAAAGTAGTCTTTTTAATGCTTTCGTTTAACTTAAAATAAATATGTATCACTCACTATCATTTTTCTTCGCGTATTTTAAACATATTGTTGTACACTACGACACAAATTAAATCAATAAAATATAAACAACTATTATTCATTTTTTATCCATAATAATAATACCAACTAGTTTTTTAAAACTATTATTCCGATTATAGGTCACCTTTTTATTTATTAATACGTATGCATGTTAAACTAAAAACTAATTGTAATTTACTTTTTAAATATACTCCATTGTTTTTTTTTTGTTTTTTTATTGACAGGTAATACTTGCTTTATGGCTTGTATCCATGACTATATTTGGCCCAGTTTTATGGGTTCGTCAAACAGAATCTGTGGAGTTAGGAGATGATCCAATATTAATTGATGCTGTCCATAGATATGGTTTGGCATGGTGTATAGAAGACTGGGGAAATGCACATGCAAAATCAACATTATCTAAACACGTTTATGGTACATTTATTGTTATAAAATGTATCTTTATTAGTAAGCATTAGTAGCAGAAATTTAATCACAAAATTGTATAAATATATAGTTAAATTCTAACTTGTACTTTACTTTCATTCAATCTTGAATACTTTGTTAAAATATAATTAGTTTTATGATATTTTAAACTCATCGCACGTTTATCATTTTGAATCTGTCCCACCATTCGTATTGCATAAAAACTATTTAGAATATTCAAAAAGTCAAGTACAGACTTGACTAAATAAAAAGTATAACACTAAATAAAGAACTAAATAAAACTAATAAAGTAAAAATAGATTACAATTTACAGGTATTCTATGTTTTGTTCTGGTGTATGCTACACCCGGACTTTTAGTGACTGGAGCCTACACATTGATGGGTCGGAGATTATGGGCAGTGCGACCACCCTTTGATGACCAGCAAGGCATGATAAGTGTTCAACAGGTCAATCAGTTTATTTTATTTATAATATGTATTATGACTTAGATTAATGTATGATATAATTTGTATTATATTATAACAAATTAAATTGTCATCTAGTTATATACTTCTATATTTAAGCAAAAATCAAAAAATTATGAAATTATAATCCTTAACTCATTATATAACAGGAGCATTTTAAATACTTACATTTTAGAGTACACAATAATTTATCTTGAAATATAAAAATAATTAGTTGTACTTAATTTTTAATTTAGTCATTATATAAATATCGAAATATTTTACAGCTTAAAATAAAATACTATACTATGAAAAAAAAATGTCAAACAAAACTAACAATTAATAATAAAAAAATGTATTATTATAATATTTTAGTCTTCACAAATTTAGTATAAAATATATTTTATTTTTCAGGTCAGAATGGTACGAGAGAGACGTAGAGTAGCAAGAATACTCTTTGTCTTAGCAGTAATATTTGCACTGTGTTGGCTACCATATAACTTATTAACACTATTTTTAGATTTAGACATCACACTTGATAAATTTGGTTTAAATCAGGTATTTACGGCTATTATGTCAAAACTATTTTGTAAATAACCTTGCGATAAATATATATATAATAAAATATATTTTTTTACAGGAGTATTTAATGAAGTGGTATCCTTTTACACTACTATTAGGACATGCTAATTCAGCAATCAACCCGTTGTTATATTGTTTTATGACAAGAAATTTTCGAAGAACAATTAAAGGTTTTGTATGTAATACTGGAATCGCTAAACCGAGAAGAAGAAATCGATGTAAAGTAAGTTGATAGTCTACGACTTCCATTGAAAACAATATAATCAATTTGTGTTATATTTTTATAAATTATGAAAAAAAATAATACGTTTATATATAATAAGATACAAGTATTTACATTTATGAAATAGAAAAAAATATAATATGTTATATCTACATTAAAATTCAACATCATATTGATGGTTACTAATTTTAATCATACACTATAATAGAACTTGTATTTATATAATTTATAAGTAGAACTTGTAAACTTTATGATAACTTTATGATTATAACGTTATATATGACAAAAAAACGGTTGAAATTTGTAAACGTAATTATAACGGAAAACGATAAGCATAAACAATTAAATAATGCAAAACAAAACATAACGATTAACTAAACATATGATATATTGTCATCAAACAAAACATAGCACAAGACTTATAATATATAGTATAACATTAAAAGAAATAAATAATTTCCAATTATTTAATAGCTATAAACTGTAAAATACATTAAAACTTTTAATTCTGAATAACGATAAACGCAAAAGTTTAATAACGTTTTAATTCTGAGTAACGATAAACGCAAAAGCTGAATAACGTTTAAATTCTAAATAATGATAAACTTAAAATTTGTATAACGTTTTAGTTGTAAGTAACGTATTAAATTTTTTTTTTTAATACAAACCCTACTTACAAGTAATATTTATTTAATTACATGAAGTTAATCTTTAATTTATGAGCCCGATAAAAATCCTATACTCATTAAATAAAGCTACAAAATTCATACAGTTTAGATATATAAATTAAAATAACTTAATGCGTTTTTTTTTTTTTAATTTACACTTAACAAAAAATGAACTTTAAAAATATTAATTTTTTTTTGTAATGATATCTATAATGATCCATTTTTACAACTTCAAAACGCAAATGTTATTATTACATTATATAATTCCAATATACAAACAATTTTTCTGAAAATATAATATTTTGATGTTTTAATATACATTTTTAACACGTTAAAATATTTAGTTGTTTAAAAAACAAAACGTCCATCCAATGGTTTTTATTTTTTACAAAAATCGTAATAATGTATCTTAATATTTCATTAATATTCCATAGAAATATTTTTTATTTATTAAATGTATACAATGGTATTCACAGAAAATGTATTGATTAATTTAAATATTAACATAATCTAAATTCAATGAGAAGAGATACATAAAAATTTACAAAAAATTCAAAGTTTAAGACCACAGATATTTTATAAAGTTTATTAAATGCATTACTTTGTTGTCCAGGCAATATGAAAATATTCATACATCAAAATATTTTAAATATAGAAGTATGCAAAAATTTGATAAATAAATTATAAGTCTGGATTTTCATTAATCGGTTTCAGAAGGGGTTGACCGAGAAAAGCACAACCAGTGGATACGGCTCGTTCCGCAACCCACGTCGGCTGTGTTTCACCCTGGCCCAACTACGCCAAAACAATACAGTCCAAACACGAACTGCAACGATATCAAACCTTGCTGTTCTGTAAATGAAAATGAGTTCATTTTGTAATATTATATTGTATTAATATGCTTAAGTTCATTTTTATATTAAATAATTAATGTATTATAGTGTAAATAGCTTAAAATATGTCCGTATTCGAACAAAAACTTCTCGTATATAATATGTTTTATTATTATCATTACTATATTTTACAAATACTTAACTCAATTTTTTTTTTAATATATAACAATACTATACTGTACTCTTTTATAGACACTTACTAATTATTACCTCAATAATATTATGTTATATAATATACGAGTATATATATATATCTTTAAAATTCCTACATCTTATTTACATAATATGTATAATATATTCTCATTTTTATCTGTATATTATTATAATATTAAGAATAAAAATAAAAAAGCTATACAGAATACGGAGATCAGGTATTGCAAATTAACTATACTAGTCTTGAAATTCTTCTTCACTCACTTTATCACAAAATGATATGGAAATAACATATATTAGTACGATTTTAATGACAATTATACATTAAAATGATGAATCTATTAATCGTAACGATTGAGTAACTCTGTATTAAAATTCAGTCTTAAAACCCAAACTAACAAAAAATAAATCCAAAAAAATATTATTATGATAACAAATTATACCAGTAAGCGTTTCAAATTTGAAATTCTTTAAAAATTAGTTTTATATTAAAATTATTATTTTATTGCAAGCTAATTAAAAAAAAAAAAAAAAAAACATAAAAATAGAATAATACATTTTTAAAAATGCAAGAATTTTTGTAATTTAAACATAATATATGTCATTATTATTTTCTACAAAATATATTTCAGTGGCTCGGTAGACATTCATATAATTTATATGTGAAATTCTATGGAAATATTTGTATACAAAATTTATAATTTTATAAACAACAAGTTTATTTAAACTGAAAACAACATTTATTAATTTTCAAATATTAAGCAGATTTTTAATGACCCTATATGTATCATTGTTTTATTTTAAAATTGCGTGTTATAGGTACCAAGTTGAAATCTGTCTCGTAGAACCAACCTCAAACGAGAAAACTCAACGGATAGAATAAAATTAGATAAAATTAGCAAAAAAAATGCTTAAAATAATTAAGAAAATAACAAATTGTCAAAGACATCAACAATTATTTAACTATACAGCTATAATAGCCATGTATTAAAGGCTAAAAAAAAAACCGTTTACAATTTAATCTAGCCATTGTTATATTTCCTACAATGGTACAAAAAGTCATTATAATTTTGTGTTCTTAAAGATTATACGATACAAACGTATATTGATGTTTTCTTTATAAACGGTAGTATTTATGACCAATTTTTTTTCAATTAAAGTAGATATTTTATTATTAACAATGATTATTGTTTCAATTTCTCAGGACCTAAGAGACTAAATGTTAGACATGCGTACAGAGATTCGAATGAATTTAAATTTTGTTTCAGTAGTTACAGCTGCCAAATATAAAATTATAAGCAATATACATTATAATTAAAAATAAATTTTACATATTATGTAGGTATATATTATGTATATATATATATATTTTTTTAATAATGACAACAGTTAAAAAAAATTATAGAATTATACAGTATAAAACAATTAATAATAGTTAATTATATTGACTCACTTCTAAAAAGCTAAAACTTGTGCTAAGAAGTAAGATTTTCTTATAAAACTATAATAATATATAAACGAAATAACTTAAATTTTATAACAACATATTAATTAATTAATTGAAATAAAAGGAAAGATTTATAAATCATAATTAAGTGAACATTATCAAATTGGTTAAGCTTGATATATAATTTTAATTAGTTAATAAAACAAATCCTATTTATTTATCAGAAATATGATTTTAAACTTTACCTATTTATCGTCGCCAATATAAGAGTAAATTGGAATTTTTAATGATACCGTCATATCAAAATACATACCTCGACACGTCATAATTACTGTCTCAAAACAAATACATAACATGTACTGCTATTATCATCGCACATCCTAATAAAATATTACTACATTTCTACAATAATCTACGTACGTTTCTTCAAATCTGCGTGAATTATTTTAACGAAGATCACCAGAAGCACTATTTTTAAAACAACAATCATCGATAACGTAAGAACAAAACAATTCAAAAGAACTATTGGGTATCTCCAAATGAACGCCAGATATATAAGAGACCACGAATAGCCCCATATTTCATTGCGAATTATCAGCCTTTAATATCAAGCGCCTTCATGCTACTCAACGTGATTTATTATTAAAAAAAATATCTTGATAACATTTGAGCGTTTCAATAAATAGTTATTAAATTATTTCTGAATCCAATTAATTCAACTACAAGTATCTCCTTCTCCATCCACAAGTGTTTGGGCATGGGATATGTTAGTTACACCACACAGCATACACAAGAACACTTTGAGCTTATTATATATTTTAGAGATGAATAAAATTATGCATAATGTACATCAAAAAAACAAAAAAAAATACATAAATTATAAATTCGTATTAAAAATTAACCGATATAGTTTATCTCGAGTAATCTTCGTGTTGATAAAATGTTATCACTTTATAATAATCCTCTAACGACTATTATTAAATTTAATAGCATAGATATATTTCGTATGAAAATCTATAAATTAGTGAACAAAAAATAATTGATTTCTATGAATGTATTATAAATGTATACTCGGTAAGTTTACAAATATGGAGTTTACATTTACTTTTTTATACATGACATATAGTATTAAGTACTATAATATACAACATTGTAATATACGTATTTTAAATTATGAAATATGTATACAGTGATGTGGTAACTAATAATATTTCCCGTATATTATTATAATATATCATGTATGAAAATGTTTTTATATATTAAAATTTATAAGTAAATATTATAGTATTGGCAAGTTTAGCTGTTAATCGCAATAATAACTGAAAAGGGAATTCCGTTTACGATTGACTCTTAGTGAGAAACGATAGAGTAGGGACAGCAATCCAAAAACACAATAATAATAATATACATATACATATAATTATAATAATAACTATTACTTTTTATCTGGCGGCATCGGCACACATGAATAAAAAAATATAATAACCATATTATAATGTATGCGGAACGTCATTCGGAAACGTTTCAGCAAATACATGACGCTTGTCCCGTTTATTAACTATGTGAAAGGAAATTACCATAACTCGTCCTTCGAAATGAGACCACTTCTATAATATTATGTTTTAAACCAATATTATTAGTGTCCGTGGACTATCATATTATTATATTTAATCGGTATCCATCTATATTATATTGTATTTCATCGTAATACAGAAAATCAGACAAATTACGCATCCAATACGTCACACATTTGTATATAGTGTATAGTAAATTATGATATTCAGTTGGAATATTTGTAAGTTTTCAAAATACATTGGTTTATTTTAAATATATGTGACACGGCTTTATATCGGAATATTGAATTACTTTTATGGCTATTTCGCAGATGTTAATTTCAATTAATGAATTATGATAATATAATATAAGTATAGCTTGAAATCAAAAACAATGTCAGAATCACAAAACAGAAAAACATTGTTTGCCTATTGTTTGAATGCCAGACTAACAGAGCATAGCAACATTGAAAAAAAAAACGAAAAAACAGATAAGTTTATACTTTGCCAGTTGGCAAAATATACTGCAAATAACAACGAAAAATTAACTTAAAACTTTGCACGTAAGAAAACTTTATAAATAATAATAATACACAAACTGGCAAAATTATTGTGTGAATAGAGAAAAAATGAAACCAAACACTGCAGTTTAAAATAAATGTACTAAAGATAAACACTCACACCTTGTGTGTAAAGAAAACCCAACCTTATGCACAGTCTTTTAAGTGCAATGAACCATCAAACACCTCGTTGAATTCTGATAAAAAGCTAGCAACTGCTGTAAATCAATATAACATCCCGAATTTCTCCATCGACCACGGGGGTTAGACGAGAAGATTAACAAATAAATAGAGAAAAAATAAATATATAGGTAATTTATTGTGATAACAGAAAACATGTATAACATTAACATATCATTAAGTGATTATCTTATTAAGTAAAAGGTATTGTAAATACAAAAGTAAAAAAATTGTGAGCCAACCAAAAAATTAATAATATAGTAAGTATACTACTATATTTTTTATAATGTGTGCATTATGCAGGGTAAGAGTTTATATTACATTAACAGTGTTTAATAAATAAATGACGTAAAAATGATTTATATTTAATTTTACAGGAAAGTACAATAAATAATATTTTTTATTTTCAGTGTATCTTATTTTAAGCTGTTTATTTTACACTCTTATTATTAAAACGTTGTCGAAAATTGTTTTATTTTTTTTTTTCAGTCTGTTCAATATAATGTTTTGAACCATACCACTTGACATTTGCGCTTCAGTTATAGAAAATGACAAATATACTCCACTCGGCTATCAAGACCCTTTAAGGGCACATTATAACAACACCCAAAAAGAGTAATTTTCCACATATAATATACGCTACAGTGAGACAAAAGTACCTATTTCTCAATAATTTGAACATTATTCCTGTATGGCTGTATTAACGGAACAATTTAAAAAAATCAAATACCCTATCCCTGAAATAATGTTTTTAATCATGAGTATTTAAATTGTATGTTATTTTGTAATAAAAATAATCAGTTGTAAAAAATAGTTTTAATGATTTAAAAACCTAACACACTGTAATAATTATTAAATAAACATGAATCATATTCATTTGTTTAACGTATAAATTGGTAAATTTTTTTTCATTTTATTTCATCGACGTTTTAACGGTTGTCGATTGGTAGTTAATATAAAAATAGGTGTTTGTTATTTTTTCTACTATACAGAATAAAATCAATGTATAAATATGAGTATATATAGTATATATCTTCAGTTCCTAAACTTTTTTGGTTCACGTATCTCAAAATTTTCTTGTTCGGGAATTTTTAAATTTTCGGAAGAGTGAACACAATTTATCGCGAACACGGATAATCAAAACACGGTTAATCGAAATGCCACTGTGTACCTACATATAATACGTATAATATACAATACGTCAACATCAAAAGCCGACACTCCCCGATAGATCACATT